GTGTTCATAATGAAGGAACTATTGTTCACAAACTGTTCATATTGTGTTCATACATGTTTTTTTTATTTACTTTCGTGTAACAACTATTCTTATTATATTCATATTATGTTCATAAATGTTATACAGTCCAAGTTCATATATATGTCAATTTTTGCTCGTATTTGACACAATGGTTCATATATATATATATATATATATATATATATATATATGTGTGTGTGTGTGTGTGTGTGTGTATGTATGTGTGTTCATATGGTTTTTATATTAACAAAAATAAATTAATAAAAATAATGAGATTTTTTGATTTTGTAACTCTCAATTAATGATATGGAAGTTACATAAAAAAATTACCTAAATACCCTTTTCCCCTTTGTTCAMATATGTTCTTTGAAATTGTAAATTTAAAATTTTAATTTTTTTATCATGATTAATCACAACCCTTTATTGTAAGAATCAATGGTCAAGATTGGTTAACAAAGTTAACACAAAAATCTTGGTTAGTATTTGAATCAAGCTCTATATATATATGTGTGTGTAATATATATATATATATATATATATATATATGAATCATTGCGTAAAATACGAACAAAAAGTGACATGTATATGAACTTGGACTGCATACATTTATGAACACAATATGAACATAGTAAGAATAGCTGTTACACGAAAGGAAATAAAAAAAAAAACAGATATGAACACAATATGTACATCTCGTGAATAATAGTTCCTTCATTATTAACACATTCAAAAGTGAGCCAATGTTGAGATATGCAGCTAGTATACATATAAACACAATATGAACACTTGTGAACAATAGCATCATAGAAATAGTATGAACACAGTATGAACGAGTGATGAACATGAACAAGCCATATAGTGAGAGAATATCGTAGAAATAGTATGAATATATAACATATATGCTATGAACACGTGGTGCAATTAAAGAAAAAAGCTATCAATACAAGATGATTTATAAAAAACACAACACATCGTAATGAACATAATTTCGATTAAAACGAATCTAATAAAAATATTAATCTATTACCAAGACAATTGTTTTGGTTAATTTCTTCACTTCCCGAACTTGAACTCCGATTGTCATCATAAACCATTTTAATCTTCTCACTATTGTCGATTTCTTTTCCATTGCGTTTATCCATATTAGCTTGATCGATACCGGAAATTTTACTACAGTGTTTCCTATGCGAATTAAAAACTCATAAAAAATGAACATGGAAGATCAAAATATATATATATATATATATATATATGTGTGTGTGTGTGGGAGCGCGTTCATATGGTTCTTACATTAACAAAAATAATGTGTTCATATACTAACCAAGATTTTTATATCTAGGGGTTGGCTGTACATATTGTGTTCATATATGTTTTTATTTATTTATTTCCTTTCATGGTAGCAGCTATTCTTATTATGTTGATATAATGTTCATAAATGTTATGCAGTCTAAGTTCATATACATGTCAATTTTTGTTTGTATTTTACACAATGGTTCTTATATATATATATATGTATGTATGTATGTATGTATGTATGTATGTATGTATGTATGTATGTGTGTGTGTGTGTGCGCGCACGCACGTTCATATGGTTCTTACATTAACAAAAATAATGTAATTTTTTGATTTTGTAACTCTCAATTAATAATATGAGAGTTATATAAAAAAAGAAAATTACCTAAATACCCTTTTCCCATTTGTTCACATATGTTTTTTGAAATGTAAATTTAAAAAATTAATTTTTTATCATGATTGATCACAACCGTTTATTGTAAGAATCAATGGCCAAGATTGGTTAACAAAGTTAACACAATAATCTTAGTTAACATTTGAACCAGCCCCTACATATATAATAGATATAATTTTTATCGAGTCTTTGAATTAGTTAAACATGATTAACCATCACTTGTAACAGACTCGAACATAAATTCTGTATTTTTAATCAAGATTTGTATTAGTTTAATCATCGATTTACATAGAATATTGTATCATGTGTAGGGCTGTAAACGAACCGAATGAAAACGAACAAAAGCTTGTTCATGTTCGTTCGTTTAACTTAATCAAACAAATGAACGACACAAACGGTAAACGAACGAAAAGCTTGGTGTTCGTGTTCGTTCGTTTAGAAATCAGGTGTGTTCGTGTTTATTTATGTTCGTTCGTTAACATGCTAAACGAACGTAAACGAATGAACATAAACAAACGGGCTAAACGAACATAAACGAACGTAAACGAACGGACATAAACAAACGAGCTAAACAAACATAAATGAACGAATATAAACGAACGTAAACGAACGGTAAATGAACAAACGTTTGCGAGCATAAATGAACGAACAAGACTCTTGTTCATGTTCGTTCGTTTAACTAGACGAACAATTTTTTTTGTTC